AAAAAAGTACCATATTGTAGTTTTTCCAGTAAAAGATCCTCAAAATAAAGTGTATAAAAATTATAAAAAATAACAATTATAAAAAATATTTACAAAATTGAAAAAGATATTTAAGACTTGTCTTCAGAGCAAATGTATTTTTCTTAGTCCTTTGGCAATTTGTTGAAATTTTATTTTTATATATATATTAAAAACCATACTTATTCTTATTCATACATCTGTTTTGAAGTATGTTTACATTTTTACTGGAAAACAAGACAAGAATACTGATGAAGAAAACAAAATGGAGCATTTCCACAATTGAATCTGTAACTGCAAGTTTTTGCTTTTGTGTGTAATGCATCATCCATGGCAATCCAAATGTCTTTATAAAGGCAAAGACAACAGTGCTATTGACCAGCAATTTTGCATGAAAATTCATGCATGGATGGCAAATTTACCCTAAACTTAATCTGAATTCTAACCAGAACCACTGTTTGCCAATAAAATCAATAAACATCAGTAAAAGATAGGGAACATTCTTGAGCACACAACTGCATGGAAAAAAATCACAGATCCCATCTTTCCCTAGGTGAGTGCCAGTGCTGGTGCACATTCAAACCCAGCCTTTTCCAGACATTCATATCCCTCTCAGATTATAAAGCAATACATCTTGGAAATGCGCTTCATCTTTTAATTCCACTAGCAAAACACTGAGATCTAAGCATGTACTTCAACAATCAGGACTTTGCAGTCATGTATTCCACCAATAACAGAACTAGCTAAACACAGACCATTGAAGACCACGTCTTGTTCTAGCGAATCAACAATTTACCTGGCAGTGAGAAGTGGAAAGGCTTCAGAAGGCTGATTAGGCCTGATATTATTCATTCTATGGCATTTTGGAGGATGAACTTCAGTGATGGATGGTTTGTGTGGGTGTGTTTGAATAACCTTTACCTCACACTCCCCACGCACACACACGCTGTAAGGGTCTTTGTAGGAACAATGTGTGCCATCATGCACCATTCTCTTCATGGATACCACATCTCCAGTTTCTTTTGACTGGCAGTATAGTTGACATCTCTCTTCAGCTGTCCAAAAAACAGACCACAGACAAATTCATACAATTCATAGCAATTCATATTTGTTTGAGCACACTGTAAGAAACTACAGACTGCCCCGGCCCAGATTCCACTCCACACTAGATGTATGATCATGCTCAAATCCCAAAATGGATGAATTATTATAGAAAAGAAGAAAGTCAACAGTTACGTTGTTTCTAGATCATTTGGGATGATCACATCCTGAGCAAATGGTGACCAATTGTAGAATATGAATGGGTGTGGGACACCGAGAACAATCTCAGACAATGGGGTTTTGGAACTTCATTAACATACAGACCACAGCTGTTCCTGGAGCAACTTCATTTATATTAAGGGTAGTAAACAGTAACTGTATAAAAGGTTTGAGCTTATGATGTTTGAGGTTCATTCTGAGTCCTCTGAATCTGAAGTGCTGCATGTACTTTGTCACTGTTATTCTGCAATAAGTTATTCTTCATCAAGATCTTCAAAGTCTTCAGCATTTTTCTTACAACACAAACATGTTGGCATGTTTTTGAAATTATGTAATTATAATATATTGATTTTACTGTATTTTAATCAATAGGATTAATTAAATATGTTCAATGCCACCCCATTTACTTATCTACTTCTCTATCTACTTCTTTTGACATTATGACAGTTTTTTTTTCTGGTGTGTTTTGAAGGATTCCATCACTTTACTCAAGCTGATACTTTAGAATGTTAAAATGAATGAAATAAATAAATAAATATAAAAATATAATAGTAAATGTAATCATACAAATATATTTAAAATGTATGGATTGGTAAAGATAATTTTTATGGTTTAGTTATATTTTTGATCCCACTAATATGTTAATATTGTACTTTTCAGTGTGAATTACCATTTAAAGGGGTGGTTGATTGCGATTTCACTTTTTTAACGTTACGAGGCCATGCTGCGCTGCTTTAGAGAAGAGGAAGAGCGGAAGAGAGGAGGTGCACGTAAAAATCTATTCATATATGAATCGCGATTCTGTCTTCTAACGATTCTAATGGATTCACAAGTTTCGAAATCAATGTTCTAAAGCAGTGGTTCTCAATACTGAGAACCTCACGCCCCCTGCTCTGCACACCCTCTGCATCTCTTGGGCATCATAAAAACAGGAAAAGATCAGCCCGTTTCTCAGAGAAGGGACAGAGCGGTGTGGAATAAAGGTAAATTATGTGAAAAATAATGTGTTTTTTTAAAAACGAAGCATTAACACATGTTAGACTGCACCCCAGAAACACAGTGAAGCCTAGAAAAAAACCAGTGAACCACCCCCTTAAATGTTCAGGGTCAGCAAGATTAAAAAATAAATAAATAATAAATTACTTTTATTTTGGCAAGGATGCATTAAATTGTTCAAAAGTGACAGTAAAGATGTTTACATTACTACAAAAATATGTTATCAAATAAATCATGTTCTTTTAAACTTCCCATACAACAAAGAATCCTAAAAATGTAATTATTGCTGAAAATTCAGCTTAACCATCACAGGAATGACATTTAAAATGACATTTTAAAATGTATTCAAATTGAAAAGAGTTATTTTAATTGTACTATAACATTTTACAATATTACTGTTTTTACTGTATTTTTGATCAAGGAAATTCAGCCTTTGTGAACATAAATTACTTTGTTATGATCAAATCTTACCAACCCCAAAATTTTGAATAGTAGTGTACATCCAAACATACAAAAATGTACAATAATTAATACTTGTGAAAAGTAAGCAATCAGGTTGATAGAATGTTTTAAAATGTATGTGTGCTACAACCACACTTTACATATACTGTATATACCATATAAGTACTAATCAATTACATTGCTACATCTAGACAATTCATATGGATAGATTTAGTAAGAATGCCACTGATATCAGATTTGTGGTGTAATGATAATTATTTTAGAGTCTTAAAAGAAGGTGTCTGCTACATAAATAATCATAAAAAATATTTAAATAGAAAAAACAAAAACCAGTGTCTCCACTGCAACATTGTTCTTACTGTATGTGCAGTGATTACTCCTCTCAGCAGTAGAGCAGGAGGCTGGAGTGGTTATTAGCTGGCTACCTGCATTCCCGTTACTGTAGCAGTAATTCGGTCCCAGCGGATAACTGGAGATGCCGTTGCTGATTAATCACATTTCCATGTGCCTTTCTTCCAACAGCTGCTGTCCAGCTCTTGGCTGATGCCCTTCTCAATGACTGGGCCAAACTTTTGGCGAATGTTTCCAAGCAGCTAAGAGCAACTCTTCAGTTAAGTAACAACCCTATTACTCTTTCTGAAGCCACCTCCTTTCCATGAATTTATGTTCCATTTTCTTTGTTGTTCTGCATTAAGGTTTTGGTGGCACGACATAAAACTATGAGACTTGTTTCCGCAGTGGGATAAAAAAATTCAATCTCTCAGTTCTGAGAAGAAAAGTCGGAATTGTGAGATATGAACTTGCAATTATGAGAAAAAAAGTCAGACTTGTCAGATAAAAAGCCGCTATTAATTGTTTTGTTTTTTTTTTCCCGTGGAAAAAATGTTTGTGCTAGTTAACAGTGCATTAACTAACTTTTGATCTCAAAAATGTACTGGCAAATGTTGAGATTAACATTAATTAAGATTAAGAAATGCTATAGAAGTATTGTTCATTGTTAGTTCATGCTAACTAATGTAGTTAACTAATGTTAAAAAAATGAAAACTTATTGTACCGATAACACAAAATGCAGAAGCGTAAAGCCACTAAAACGCAAAAAAAAAAAAGTGATTCTATATGGCACATAAAATACAAATACATATTTCTTAGCTCTTATGTTATGGAAACATTTACAGAAAAAGGAGCTTTGTGAATGATATTTAAAAAGCACATTTCTTTGAAAGAAAGATGAACAGGGTCCAAGACCATTGGCGGACACCAGGAAGCATTAAAATTAAGAGTATAATACCATGTGACTGTGCCAATGTCTTTTTCGCCAGCATAATATGAGACTGAACAAAAACGGAAAATGATTTGGAAAGGAATAACACTAAATAAATCAGCTCATCACTCACGTTCAGGGTGCTCGTAGGGCAACCAATGGTGTTTGGTGCCCTCATGCTCAAAGTGGGGGTTCCACATTATGCACTGCTCCTCTCTAAAGTCAGCCAGGGCCTTTGCACACTCCTCCATGTTACAGAGCTGGAACTCATAGTTGTTTCCATAACAAGTGCGCCCCCCGTTGGCCGGACTACAACATAGAACAGATTTGTTCAAGTCAACAGAGGTGAAATGTGAGAACATGAGAATACCACTTTCACCGATTTGAAGACACTCACATTGGGTTGTTACACTCTCGAGTTCGGAACCATACTCCACCACCACAGGTACGAGAACAGGAGCCAAACTTGGTCCACTGACCCCAGTGGCCATCCTGCCTAAGAATGTCTGGCGTCAGCTTGATACAGTGACCCTTAAAACAGTGCTGGAGAAAGAAAGAGAGAGGGAGAAAAGAATGTGAAAATGGTATCTGGTATTCTGGTTCTGGGTATATGCTCAGGTTCTGAGTATAAGTCTAACCTTTCCTGTTGCACACTTGGTCCCATCGATAGGAGGGCCCTTCTTGGTCTTGCAGAAGAAAGGGTTCTCGGGGTGGCTGCACCACAGCTGCTTGCAAGGATCGTAGGTGCTGTACTAAAAGAAACAGTCATGCTCGCATTCATACACACAGACCATGTGACCAGCCCAGATAAGTGGCAGAACTCTTGTTTTTAAATTGTTTTATTTAGCTTTTCTTGTTTGCAGATGAATTATCTGCATGCTTGCACCTGCATAAACAACATTATTTCATATTATAGAGGATGCTGAACATACAAAGTGCAGTCCAATAGTCCAGAAATGTTTCTATTTTGCATTATTTTTCAAATTTATCGTATTAAAAAAATGTCATAACAGGAAACCATTAATAAACCATGTTTTATTTAATGTGTCAGAAATTCGTTGTCAATACACAATCCTTAAGAATACTGAAAGTACAAATGTGCATCTATGAGAACAGTTAATAATTAATAATTAATACTTTATAAATAATAATAAATATGTAGATCAGACAGATACTCATGATGATTAAAAAAGGAAGCAAGAACATGATTGTCCGTACAAATAGTTACATGATCAATATAATAATTTGATTACATTTGATTCGTCACCTAGAAATAGTGCAGAATCTTAAATATTCTTCATTTTATTGAGATTTTCTTAAAATCATAATTATATGTCATGGCTTTCCTCTATTTGATAAAAAAAAATCTAAAACTTTGAGGTTCAAATAAAAACAAACATTCAACATTTTCAGTATTATTTGTGACCCTGGACCACAAAACCAGTCTTAAGTGTCAATTTTTCAAAATTGAGATTTATACAATACAATGAATAAATACGCTTTCCATTGATGTATGGTTTGTTAGAATAGGACAATATTTGGTCGAGATACAACTATTTGAATATCTGGAATCTGAGGGTGCAAAAAAAATCAAAATATTGAGAAAATCGCCTTTAAAGTTGTCCAAATGAAGTCCTTAGCAATGCATATTACTAATCAAAAATTAAGTTTTGATATATTTACGGTAAGAAATTTAAAAAATATCTTCATGGAACATGATCTTTACTTAATATCCTAATGATTTTTGGCATAAAAAAAAAATCTGCAAGTTTGACCCATACAATGTATTTTGGCTATTGCTACAAATATACCCCAGCGACTTAAGACTGGTTTTGTGCTCCAGGGTCACATTTCATTATCTTAACTTGGAATAAGTATAGATTTAACTAGTTTATGTGGTTGAATGTGGAGTGAGATGGCATGTCAGGTTAGTTGGTGTGACAAAGTCTCTCTTTCACTCACCGCAGTGCACATCATGTAGCCCATGCCGAAGTCAAAGCGGCACTGGTCGTTCATAGAGTAATGCAGACCAGGCAGCTGGGGCAGAGTTGGCCATTCATGATCAAAGGGTTCATCACGCAGACAGTCATATGTACTGCATGAGTAATAGTACTATCTTAGAATTTGTAATCAAGGAACAGGATGAATAACAGAATATATTCATATACTACAAAGCAGGAAGCTACCATAACCAATTAACTCACTTGAGGTATCGCCTGAGCTCCTGTTGACTGCATCGGGACCAATGAAAGCGGTGGAAGGCTGCTTGAACCAGAGGAGCCATTATACTCCCCATGGGAACCTCATCCCCGCACTCATTCGCCTGGCCGTCGTGCTCCATCCCCAGTCTGAATATAATAAATAACAAGCACACATTCACTCACCCAGTCTATACAATCATCTTCTGTACTGAATGGAAATGTGGGTGAGAGAATGGATATATGTAACAAATATTATGTATATTATTATACAATGTAATATATAATATATTAAAATATATTATACAACATATACACAACATCTTTGTTTGCGATGAAATACAAAATATGATCAAATATTTAGAAATGTTAATGACAGAACTTTCTATCTTTTATTGATTATTTTTGTGGCAGATAAATACTTCTCTAATTAAAATAATAATAATAATTAAAATGATATTCAAAGATATTACCGTCTACCCAATAGCTTCAATATAGTTAAAGGTGCACTAAGCAATATCTGAAAAACGCTTTTGACCACAGTGTCGGACTGAGTCCCAAAACACACTTGTAGCCAATCAGCAGCAAGGGGAGTGTCTTGTAATGATAGATAGAAGCGAGTGCTCAATTTGAGTGCACAGGCTGGATATTAGCAGATCCTGACCCGCGTAAATATCGGAGCAGTTTTTCAGTGGTGGAGAGAACTAAAGGAGCGGGAAGGGCTTGAATCGGATGCCGAGGTTGTGTTGTTTCTTCTTGATAGGTGAGTAACGCTGATTTTGCATTGTTTCGCACAACTTATCTGTGCTGGCTTTTGTTTGAATATGCTTGTGTGTCATCTTCGTTTGTTTCCAAGATCATCGTTATGCCAGGGTTGTGTATGTACTCGTGGGGCGGAGATATCAAAATAGGGACAAGGTCCTGTTGGGATATGGGCGTGTTTGTTTTGGTGCTTTCAAATATAAACATCGTTTGGTGAAAATCGCTTAGTGCACCATTAACTTTTATTTGTGGTATGAACTGTAAATACTTAGCGGCTTGATTTGGGTTGAACTACTAGTTTTTATGATTAACTTAGGGCTTGACACTTTCATACTAGCTTCTCCAACACTGGTCGGTGGTGGCATATTATGGAGGAAGGTTTTATCAAATTTTTCTCACACATGTCCTGTCTCATGGGCCACAACAAAAGCAGACGAGAAGCCATCCTCATGGTTCAGAGTGCAACTTCTCACAGGGTGACACATTCCTGTCACAGGAGCATAACCTGCAAAGAGAGGGAAGATAAATTGTCGTGAATGGTCTGTTGTTTATGTTGGCTCAAATTGGCAAGTCTCTCTGAAAAAAAGAAAAAGAAAAAAAAAAAAAAAAAGTATGGCAATATGACAGTTCATTCTCCCTGTTACATTAATTTTAATTAGTCTGCATATCTGAGATTCTTGATGTACTGTACATGCATCATGTCATGTTTACATGTAAGTTCATGGAATCCAAAAGTATTACCTTGCATGCCAGTGGGCCCAAACTCTTGTCTGGTGAGGAAAATGGCATGATCGTGGTATTCTGCATCATTCTTGTCCTCTTTTTGCTGCAGGAAGGCCCAGCGGCAGACATTCTCCAGGCTCTGAGAAGCCTTGCCCAGCTCAATCAAACCCATGGACTGACAATACCAACACAAATCATAGGTTAATACCGGACATTGTTAATTGAAACAATTTAGTTTCAGAAATTTGAAAATTTCAGTATTAGAATGCTTAAGCCAAATCTATTAATGCTATAACATTTTAACATTTATACATTTCTAACAAATTTTTGGTATCATTTTGCACATGTTTTCAAGAGAAAACTTTTGTAATTTTCTACAGTTTGATGTTAGAGTTCTACTTGAGCTTTCATAGTTTATTTATTAATTAATTCATTCAGTAATTAAATGCAAAGTGGTACAAAGAATACATAAACTTAAACCTGCTGGACAGAACTTTGGCACCACTTTGTACCTAGAAGTCAATAATCAAACTTTTTCAATTTCAGTATGCTATTCATTTATTTATTTATTTATTTTTTAAACAGTGTTCTCAGTTTTTAATTTTAAGTTTCTTAGAAATTCAAGTCATTTGCATCCATTACAAAAAAAAAAAAAAACAACAACTTTGAAACAACCTTGGCTACAGTGGCGAAACTTTTCCTTGGATATAGATACCAGAATTATACTTCAATACAGTCTCTGTTGGACAGCTACTGGAGTCATACACTATCAAAAATATATCTAAATTACGACCTATTCTCTCAATGTCAAATGCAGAAATGTTAATCCATGCGTTTATGACCTCAAGGTTAGATTATTGTAATGCTTTATTGGGTGTTTGTTCTGCACGCTTAATAAACAAACTCCAGCTGGTCCAAAATGCAGCAGCTAGAGTTCTTACTAGAACCAAGAAGTATGACCATACCTTGTCTCAGACGACCACCGGGACAAGACCACAGGAACCAGATGATTCCTCTGCACAATGTGACTTTGCTAGCCTGAAATTGAACTGCTGGTTTTGTCTGGCCCAGAGGAGAACTGGCCCCCGACTGAGCCTGGTTTCTCCCAAGGTTTTTTCTCCATTCTGTCACCGATGGAGTTTTGGTTCCTTGCTGCTGTCGCCTCTGGCTTGCTTAGTTGGGTACACTTCATTTCCAGCGATATCGTTGATTTGATTGCAAATGATTGCAAAGATACTATTTAGACTGAACTGAGCTGGATGATGACATCGCTGAATTCAATGATGAACTGCCTTTAACTGAAAAATTAGTGTTTACTATTGTCATTTTGCATTATTGACACACTATTTTCCTAATTAATGCTGTTCAGTTGCTTTGACACAATCTGTATTGTTAAAAGCGCTATATAAATAAAGGTGACTTGACTTGACTAGAAATATTTTAATAGATAGGGTATTTTCGTACTTTGAAGTGCTGTTGATACAACCACAGTCATCCAACAAAGTTTCAGAAGGAAACTGGCTGATGCCGTCTTACCTTGGAGGAGCAGAGCATCATGATTCTAACCAGGACAACATTAATATGGGCACCCAGGGAGCTGTCCTGATAAATCTCATTCACCTGTGGAACAATTCATAAGAAAACAAAGGATAAACAAGTAGAAATGTAACACAAACATAGCCTTACTACAGAGAGCCTGGATGTGACGAATGGATGTGTAATTCGTCTGGACAATAACACGGCTACGAAAATTATGTAGGCAGGAAAAACTGTCACAGTGCCAGAGGCGTTTTGAGAAGTTAGAGAGTTTAATAGGAAAAAGCAGAGTTTACTGCATGTGAGCTGAAAATTGCACAGCACTTACCCTTACAGTCACCTTGAGAAGGATTTAAAGGTCCTGAACCCTCCCTTACAAAAATGAACCATGGTTTTACTACAGTACAAATAAAACCAAAAAACCATGGTTACTATAGTTACACCATGGTATCCACAAATTAACCATGGTTTTGCTGTGCTACCCATAATTTAACCATGATATTTGTAGTAAAACTGTGGTTATACAAATGATAATCATTACGCCAA